TTGTGATTGTTATTATGTCAAGATGTGCAACTTGCATTAGCTTTCATGTCACTGCGCTTGCCCTTACTTTACATGTAAATTTTAATGAAAGATACAGCACTTTAAAAATCAGATGTCCGTCAGAAGTGCTATTAGCCTGCCTTTTACAAAGCATGTGTCCTGTTTTGCTACCTCTGCATCTCTACACAACACTGAATGCCTCAAATGAAGAAAACAGAGGAAGGAAAAAAAAGCCTTTCAATGATATCAATTAAATACTCTCTTTGGGCAGAGTGAAACCTGAGCCTCACTGAAAACAGAAGACTACAATACAGCCTAAGATGACAGTATTTTAGCTCCTGTTTACACACAAGGCAACCACAATGCCTTTAACTCTCACAGGAATCATTCTTCTTAATGAAAATGAAAGCCAGCAAAAAATCAGCTGTTTATTCACACTTCAGGAAGACACCGTTTTAAAATAAGGTAAAAAGAAAACATATAAGAAAAAACTAGTTACCTTCAAACTACAAAATATTTAACACACTATTAAATATCTTATGCATGCAGATTATTTGTAAACACACATGCTCATATGCACAAACAGAAAATAATTTACCAGAAATGTCCTATTCAATGTCTCATATGTTTGCCTTCATAAATATATAACAAAGAGGTATAAAAAGAAGAATAAGACATCTATTCCTTTGCATTAGCTGATATTGAACATTTAAGTGACTTCATTCCCCAGCGTTCAGAAAATGTCATCACCTCTGGAATAAAACGAAATAGGATGAACACTTTGCAGAAACGTCCCCAATATCTTACATTTGAAATTCATCAACTATCAATTATCTCAAATTAGACTTCTATGAATTACATTAAAATATTTACTTCTTCCCTAAATAAAATAAGAAACCAGCATCAAAAATTTACCTACAAAAACATTTCAGAAGAATGATATCTTCATTCAAGGAGTATTGATTCTATCAAACAAGTTTTGCAGATTTGGTATTTGCTAACCATAAAATAAAATGCTTGATTTTTTGAAACAGTCATTAAGAGTAAAGTTAAAACTGAAAGTCACCATCCTTACAACAATGCAGGATTTTTTTCCCACTAAAGGAAAACAAACCCACTACCACACATATTTTAGTCCTTTCCGTAATACTTTTAAATGTAGAAAACAAAACTATACAATATTCACATTTAAAACCCAAATACTAAGATACTTTACAGGGCAAAGCAGAGCTTAAAAACCACTGCCAAGGCTGGCAAGATGAACATAGTGTTGTTTTTCCCCTTGTATAATTAGACATTTATAGAGCACAAATGATTGAATTTGTTAGTGATGCTTGACTTCAACATTTGCATAAACTGTTGGCCATTCAGATGGACTTATTTACATAGAACCATTTAGGTTGTAAAAGACCTTTAGGGTCATCGAGTCCAGCCATTAACCCAGTATAAGCACCACATCTACAGTCTTTTAAACTTCTCCAGGACTGGTGAGTCAAACAAGTCCCTGTGCAGCCTGTTCCAGTGTTGATAACCCTGTCCATAAAGAAACTTTTCCTAATGTCCAATCTAAACCTCCCCTGGTGCAACCTGAGGCTATTTCCCATCATTCTATCACTTGTTCCCTGGGAGAAGAGTCTGACTCCCAGTTTGCTATAACCTCCTTTCAGGCAGTTATAGAGAGTGATAAGGTCTCCCCTGAGCAGCCTTCTCTCCAGGCTAAGCAACCCCAGCTCTCTCAGACACTCCTCCTAAGACTTGTGCTCCAGACCACTCACCAGCTTTGTTGTCCTTTTCTGGAAACACTCCAGCACCTCAATGTCTTTCTTGTAGTGGGGCGGGGGGCCCAGAACTGGACACAGCACTTGTGGTGCAGCCTCACCAGTGCCAAGTACAGAGGGATGATCCTTTCCCTAGTCCCGCTGGCCACACTATTTCTGAAGCAAGTCAATACAAATCCTAATGGTTGTACTGGTGAAAAAGAACTTGAAATTATTTTCCAGATCAGTAAGGTCCAGTCATTTCCTTCTATTCAAGCTCACAAATCCTATTTCATTTTTCCTGTGCCATTACCTTCAGATCTATATTATTGAACAATTTAAAAAAATAAGAACCTCACACTGCTCTCTGAGAGCAATGCTAAACTTTCCAAGACTTAAAAAATCTACTTGAGCAGGTAGGACCAAGGGAGATAATCTGATCTTGTAAGGCTGATTATTACACAGGGACATTGGCGGTAGCCTTTTTTCTACACGACATGCACTTAAAAATGTCCCACCCCTGAAATATGTGAGTAGCCTTTCATTTCTCTCTGAGAATGAAGAAAAGACCTTCTTCATACTGAAAATGAGTGTGCCACTGTACAGTTTTTCACACCAAGCACAGCTGCTGATGGAAGGAAGGACCCACATGCCTTAGAGAAGAATCAGCAGTCTGCAGACTGCATGGCTGCTACACAGGTGTCCTGTGCACATCCAGAAACCAGCCATACCTCACTGTCATTCTCTGCGTCAGAGAAGACATTTAGGACTTTTCAGTTCTTTGGGTTCTTGGTTCACTGGCTTCAATGTGAACTTTGCTATTGCCTTCAAGAAGACAAAGGATTTCATTTACCAAAAATAGCAAATTCCCATTAGGAATACTGACAATTTTAAACAGGGACATGAATCTCAAAAAAAATCAGATCCAAATCAAGAGTGATGGTAAAACAAAACCCACTGCACACATAAGACAACCGTGAAAGGTAGCAAAAAGGCAAATAATCATTTCCTTAACAAAGGGTTACAAAAGAACAAATTATATGGAAGAACATGACTACACATTAACTCTAGCACAGCAGCAAATTAGAGTTGGATATTTATGATTTTCTTTGGTGTCATTTACTTGTAGGGGAGTGTTAGAGAAATAAACTTAATATTATTGTTCCTTAATTGTCAATACCTCTCCAGAAGAGAAGTTGTATTCAGCAATTCATGCCAAACTAAATAGAAGTCCTCCCTGCTCATCACACATTTACCTCACCTCCACAACCAGTTCTATACATCAAATAAAAACACAAACAATGCATATGCACTCAGTTTGTTTAAATGCAAGTGGTATCTCAACTACTCCAGCCATTACCCCAGTACACCTACACGTCATCTTACTGAACTTTCCAGGAACTTATTAAAAAAAAATTAAAATCTCCCGGACGTTTTAAAATTATAGATGTTTTCCTACAATGAAAACAACTAATGAAACACTTGTTTCAAATGATGAATGCAAGCTCACATACTTGCACATAGTAATATGTTGAGAAGAGGTTTTATGAAATCAAATACATTATATCCAAAATTAAATCAAATGCATCACATCCTTTGGCTCCATATGTGGCATGAGACAGAGTTGTTGCCAGTTTTTACTAAAAACTACAAGAATGCCCAAAAAATATGAACCTTCCATGCGATCATTAAGAGGTCTGGTACCACCTTCTCTGTGAGCTGAAGGCCATGCGTGAGTTCGAAATTACAGTTTGAGCCCTCTGAAAGCAATGCCATTTTTCACGCAGAGTGATGGTTCTCTGATGAAGTCACTCAGTATAACTAGAGTTAAAAACTACACACAGCTGAGAAGTGAAATGATATTTTCACTCAATGATATGATAAATTAAGTTTCAGTACATTTGAATTAATTGTGAACTATATATTATAATCCTCATGCCTACCAGCTCAGTTAGGAGTTTTGCCTTGGAAAAGACTTTTAGCTTAGTCCTACATAGGCTGGCCTGCAGCACAAACACCACCCAAGAAAAGAAGGGAGCAACATAAGCTAATACCACACCACACAAAGACTTGACCTGATCTACAAGGACCCTTCAATCACACTAAGCCATACATCAGCTAACTGAATTATTGGCAGCTGTGTTGAGGTACAGTTACATTTTGTATGGTGTGCTTAGAAGCATTAGGTTCTCATATTTTTTACAGTGTATATATCTGATTATTATGTTCTGATGTTCACCTATTGCTAAGAAGATAGCTCTGAATATCTCCCAAATTCATAGTTGCACAATTGGTCATTTCATTCCCCAATATCTTATTAGCATGGACACAACCAACATCCTCCAACATGTTCAAACCATGCTGATCAATAGATCAATTCTTCAGCAATGTATTCGTTGTGTAAGCCTCAGCATAACAAAACCTTTTAATCTTTCTATCTCATTGGAAAATAGGACCAAAAAAAAAGATTTTTCTCAAGCCATGCTTATAATTTATCAATTAATCTTCACCCCTCCTTCCAGTCGAACTGGAGACCCACAGCAGGTTTGAAGCATTTTGTCTTTTTGACAGTTTGATTAGGGATGGATGACTGCCCTCTGCATGCCTAAGATAGGTGTGAAGAAGAGCAAGTTCGAGCCCCAGAACAGCTTGCATGCCCTGTGCTGTACTGAGCTGCAAAGGAAATGCACCTCTCTGTTTAGCAGTGCTGATCACTTCTGTTTCCTCTGCAGCTTTTTGGAACTCAATTTCTCTTTGCAAAACACTTTGCACTAAGGGAAAGGATGGGAAGCAGATCTGGAGGGAGAAACGATAGCTCAAAAGACCTCCACTGTTGAAGGGTGGTGGACAAGCCCAGGTTCTGCTTCCACCAACACCAGTGCCAAACTTAGCAGTAGTGGAATCACTCCAGTGCAAGAGTCAGCATTATCAGCTCACTGGCCTCTGGCTCTGTCTTTGACTGAACTGACAGTCCCTTTGCACCCCAGCATCACCAGCTACAGACAGCCTGACATTGAGCCACCCATACTTAGTGTGAACAGGGAGAAAAATAACATCTCTTAAGAAGGCCTCAGAGCATTCATCTTAATAAATATTTCCTCCATAATTCAATACAAAAGATTGTTAAGAGATTTAAAAATAAAAGCATTAATTTCCAATAAGAAACACATTCATAGAAATACAGTTTGTCCATTAAAAAACATTGTACAAGCAATGAAGTCTTAGAAAGAATGCAATCTCTACCTTTACTTCTACCTACAGACAGGAAGATGCGCGTCCAGTTAAGAGGAGGAACAAGAAGGGTATCCATCATGGAGAAGGCAAAAGAGAAGAGAAGGAGAAAGCATAAAAAACCAGAAAAACATGTCACTGACCATACTTAGAAAAACAAGGAAATGAGCATATTTACGTAGCAGCCAAACCCAGCAAAATACAATGTAAAGGGAAATACAATAGACATACCACAACTAAAGCACAAAGCAAAGCTTAAACCACCAACAGTACAACAAGCAGTGGCTTGGTTAAGCCCTTTGGCTTTGATTTTCTACTGAGAAATGCAAACTGTGATATGCCTCAGTCCACATCAAATTCAAAACAGCAAGGGAAACAACAGAATAGTACAGAAAAAAAATAAATCTTATGGTTATATATTTGCTAAACACATCTCACCTACCAGAGCAAATATATGTTGACACTGCATATTTACTCACACATATATATTTACATATTTTATATCTATCATATTTTTATAGAGAGTAAATATTTATCAAAAAGCACTATCTGTGAGTTTGTTAGCAAGAAAAGAGAAGCCATTGTTCCCCAATGTGTCACAGATAAACAAGGGTGGCTAAAGGTGCCAAAAGCCAACAGTTTTCACATTTTTTTGCCAGACAAGGGAGTATAGAAAGTACTGATGATCATACAGGCCTGGATAGGTCATGCAAGTCTTCATGAGCCAGCTGGGTTGCAACTTTTAATTTAAATGGCCAAGTGCAACTGTTTATATAATCCAGTGCTAAATCACGGACTACTACAAAGAAATGTTCAGTGTTACTGAGAATGAAAGTGGCCATCAAAGTTCACTGTCCTGATCACTTCCAACATGCCTTCCTCTGTTAACAGCTTGCCATACTCAACTGTATCCTGAGTAACTAGGATACGCTGAAGGGACCTCTCTGCTGGATGCTCCCTCCACAAGTGTTACCTCTGAGTCATGTGACCGGTTGAACAGTCAGTGGTGATAGAGAAGGAGCTCAGTGCTTCCCAGAGTTTAGCCAAATGCTCCACATGCCAAACACTGTGGTCTTGACATGCACCCATAAAAAGCCCAGTTTTCCTACCTTTCCTACAACACAGAGATGTTAAGCACTACAGAAACTGATAAGTGAGCCCCAACTTCACCTCTGATTGTTTCCTAACCTTTCATGACCTCAGAACAGACTTGACCAACAGAATAAAAACTGATTATGTCCTAAGCCTCTCTACATTTCTTTGAGATACACAGAAACTATTTCTCTTTTATTCAAGCACCTAATTACTCTTGAGCCTTCACATGAACTACGTTCTATCTTATTAACTCATTGGAGTGTCTAACCTCAGATATGCGCTTACTTAACAGCAAAAAAAACCCAAAACTTTTGTGTACATCTAGTCTAGGAAAGCCTCATCAGGCTTTAGAGTCAAAACTCACATTGTCTCCCCACAGACAAACAATTGGTCTGGTCTTTCTAATGCACCACATGCACACACCTTGCATTAAGTCTTTAATGGTTTCACTTCTGCATTCACAAGACTAGAAGGTATCAGTAGTGCTGCTAACTTCTGTGTACCCATGTCAGCACTGCCTCTGGCACTGTCAGAGGAAAACAGAATCACACCTCTCCTCACTTCAGCTGTCCTCACCAACTTCTTACTCCACACCCTCGTAGCGCAAAATGGGAGTAATGATCCCATCATGTCACCATCAATAGATCTGTAACTCACTGCAAGCTGAGATATTAAAATGTGATCTCTGATCTGGGCCTAGATCCCATTTGTAGCCCATTCTGGGGTTAGCCCTGTTGTTCTTCTAAACCATTTTGTTCTGTGCACATTTGAGTATTTTAAATTGCAGACACAGGACAACCGGCCATTATATGCAATTTTCCTCAGGATTCATAATGAGTTAGGATCATGCCATGAGGGCGATTAACATACTTTTTGTAATAATTGCACTCTTGAAAATGAAGACCAGCACTGAGGTCTACATTTAGTAGGCAGAAGTGGGAGTCATTACAGCTGGCACAAGAAGAAATAAATGGCAAGATAAAATAACTGGTGGGCTGCATGGAAGGGGGAAGCATACCTCTTTTCTGTCCATGGAATCATTTCATGCTCCCTCCTGGGTCCCTGAGTCCCAGGCTGATCAGCAGCCTTGGCTCATGGGACAAAGAGGCAAAAATGCAAATGGCTTGACTGGCACTCAGTAGGCTTAGTTGTTTTTGTTATGCAAAGCCCAGCTCAGAAAACTAGCAGAGACAAAGCTCTTTCATGATCAGTGACTGAAACAAAGAGAAAGTCAAAGGACTTACCTTGTTCACCCATCATCAGGTGTGAGAGGCCTTTGAGAGAGAGAGAGAGAGAGAGAGGAAGTAAGAGAAAAAGAAAACTGAAAAAGAAGCAGCAATATCCATGCACACTGGTCGCAGTCCAATACCTGTCAGGATTGGAGCTCACATACTTGAATTAGATCAAGTATGGGTGTAGCACACAGGATACAAACATTTACAGGTGCTGCTTTCCACACTGAGCAGGAAAGCATCTGTTGCAGGCAGAAAAAACCTGCTGGTCCTTGCAGAACTGTGTTTGAGGTTCAGCATATCCCTTGGAGGGCAACTCCAGAGGCACTGCACACCAGTACAGCTAAATGGGCTACAAAAGCCAAGGTCTGCAGTGAGAGTCTGCAAGGGAGTATTTGCTTCTCTGAAGAGATACAGAAATAACTTCTCCTCAGCTGAAGACTTTAAATTCAAGGGTGCACTGGTCAGTAAAAGGGAGGCCATGATCACACCACATCTGTTCCAGATGAAACATCTTGGCTAAGTGCATACACATACACACAGCTATCCTCATTCTTGAATGTGTGGCTTCATAATGTATTTTTAGGAGTCTGTCAAGATTGCTCACACTTACTAATTAGACACCAGTACACCAGACATAGTAAGGACTAAAAAAATTACCAGTAACCTATTAAAATACACCTCCATTCCCTTTCTGGGAAGATGTGCAGACTCACTTTCCTAGGGCAGTGTGTTACTTTATGGTTCGACTGCTAAAGCTACTCTTTGGTTTCATAACTGAAGGTAAAGCCAGAGAGCAGTACAGCTCCCCTCAGTAGTGACAGTCACTGTCAGCTCTGTAGACAAAGTTATAGTGTTTACTTGGGCTGCTCCAGTATTTTGGTTTGATAATTCTTTCTGGCACAAACCTTGTTTGTTTTAATTAAAATCCATTTCTAGGCCAAATTTTCAAATATGTTTACTGTACAATTTTTTTTATACAAACATTGTTTCGGTACTATTGTACATATATTCATGCCCAAGCCATTAAGCATTAAGTGACCCATCAGTCAATTTTGTGATACAAGATATCACAGACCTAATATAACAAAAATCAAGTCCTTCCCACTCAAGCCATAAGTGACCCCTTTTGTACTCGGTTCCCTAACCAACTTCCCTGAGCTTGATTACTTCTCCATATCTCTTGTCTCTCATAGCACTTAGTATGGCAGGGGTTTTGATAGATGCACACACAACACACACACCCCATATCTTAAGTCAGTTTTTTAATCAAACAAGGCTGTGACTTTTTAATTTCACAGAGGCTGAGAGGTCAAATGAATTTATTAGAATGAGAATTTTCAACAAGCAGCATGCTGAGTTTGAATTTGTTTATTTCTCTCTCTTTTATATTTTTCCTTTATGTTGGCTGAAGAAATCTAAAATCCAGATCATCCTAAGAATATGTTCACCCACAGAGAACTCCAAGCCAGATAAGGGGATTAATAATTGTACAGTCTAAGGAATGCAAATATCTTAGTGTTCTTGAAGATTATTGTGGATTTAGAAAAATAATCAGAAACACAACATAGGTTTAGATTTTTTTAGCTCTTTTAGCTATAAATAAACATAGCAGATTTGATACTGTAGGACATTTCTGGTTTAATTTGGAAGATATAATTCAGTGAATTTGTATCTCTATTTATGGCCACTAACCCCATCATTCTTGATAGGCAAATCTTAAGTCTGACCAAATGGACACTTGAAAGGCACTGTAAAAGGTAAGAAGACAAAAGTATAATTGTTAGGACCTATAACACACAGAGACCCTGTAGCAATGGCATAAAAAGAGAAAAGGCTAGAAGGTGTCACTATGGTATGTAGCTGAAGCTGGTTGAAGAGGGAGAGAATATTAGATCTGAAGCAGAGATAGGGGTCCTCAGCCCTTGTAGACCGTGGGAAAGGAAAGTCATGCCTAAGAGGCCCAGCACCAACAGATGCAGCTGCTGGAGCTGGCAGGGGTTTTGTCCATTTGAACACGGATGAAGAGAAACCTCCAGAGAAGGTTCAAAGCAAGAGTCTGCATTAAACATCCTGAATCACACCATAAGAAAATCCCTTCTCTCTCCACCAGCCACAGAGCAGCTATAAAAAAACCTCAAAATGTCAGGAATGTCAACACCCCTTTTTGTCCTTTATCCCCAGAAGACCAGTGCTGTGTGCCCTATCTGTCAGGTACATCAGCCAGATGCAGCCCCAAGCCTTTTCCCTGCAGTTAAGGAGTGAGTGCAATCCCCAAATATACCCACTACTGTGGTCCCTGCTTTAGCCTTGGTTCAAATGCCTTCGAAGGAAGTGTCCTTAAGAAATGTTCTGACACTTTCTGCTTCTTCATAAATTGGAAATACAATAGCAGCTGTGGTATTGTATGTACCTCTTGATCTTCCAGTCCGAACTGGACAATGAAAGCAGGGAGATAAATGAAAAATAGTGCACTCCCCCTCAATGCTACTTTTTCCTTTTTAAAATGTGAAGAAAAAGGAGGGTAGATTTGGAGATGGAGCAAAAAATCAATATTATATCTTAAATTGTTCATCTACGCAGATCCTTATTTTAACAAAGAGAACACCAACATAATTCCAGATTCATTATTAGATAGAATAATAATATAACATTATGAAATAACATATCAGCTTTTCTCATCTGAAAATTTTCCTCCCTTGCAATTCAAAGTAGGAGTGAAAATAAGTGTGTTTATCTCCAACAAAATGTCATTAACCAAAACCTTCAACCACTGAGATATAAAATCTGTGACATTTGCAGCATGTGTAACAAAGGCCTCAAATTAGAGTAAAATGAACATAGAAAACATGAACTGACATACTTGTCTCACCTTTACATCAGTTTCAAGACATGACAAATGCAAGAGTTGAATTGTATGCATTGTTCAGACCTGCAAACTTGACCAGACGTTGCCAGAATAGTGGGGACATGTATCATCATGCTATTTGGGCATCAGTCATAAAGACCAGCAAAGTTTTCAGCAGGCTCAGGATGCTAGATGAACTCATCAGGTCCCAAAGCATGTTATTTACATATTCTACCATTGTTTGTGCCAATAGCCATCCCATTTCAGAGGAATCCTATAAGAAAACCTGAGTTTCCACCTAAATCCAGGAAAACATACTTTCCCTTTAATCTTAGATTTGTTCAACAAGAAACCCTGATTATAGCCTCAGAGCTGCAAACCCAGACAGTGTAGAACTAGGAAAATGTTTACACAAATCTGCATGAACTCAAATGGTCAGCGGATTGCAAGCTTCTAAACCAATCTAGTCATCCTTATAATAATTTACTGGCTGGGCACAACTGCTGCCCAACAAAAATGGTGGGTAGCAAGTGCTCTGAAAAAGGAAAGCCTCAGAATAAATTACTTATCTGTCTGTAAAGAAATTTTATGTCAAAGTCAAGAATCTGGTGATTTTCTATTCATGAACTTCAAATATGTGTCACAGTAAGGACAATCCATGGCTTCAGAAGAAGACTCTCAACAGGTTTTTTAGATGATGATAAGCATCTGCTTGTGCTCAGCCTCTGGAGCCCCAGCTTCTTCAGACATTTGGCAGTAATGTGAAGCAAAATTGGCCTGCTTCTTCAGAACACCAATTTGTTATTAAAATAATATGTCCATTGCTGAGGGCAGACAGACATATAAACTCTGGTCTCTGGCCATGATTTATGCCTGCCACAACAGATTTTTCCTATTTAGGTCTGGGAGTTTTTTTAATATTTCTTTAACCTACTACCAAACCAGTATTATTTTCTTAAAAGTTATTACTAATCTCCCTTGATCTCGAAGTAACATTTCAAAGAACTACTTTTTAAAAAAAAATTCGTGAACCATCTGCTTTCTATATCAAAATAGTAAAATCAAGCTCTAATTGTACAAAGTATCAAGGGCCAACACTGGATCTTACAAACCCAGAAGAACATTTTTAAAAGTGGCTTCAGAGTTTAATGATACGAAAGAGCAATGTAGTTAAACAGCAGTCTTCATCTTTAAGGAATTGCTAGGGGCAATTTCCAGTGTGGAGGAGAAATTGAGGGAAACCTTGGAGGCAGTTTGAATCCTATTTACCCCCCCATTTTGATACTTAGGACTTAAAATGGAAAATACAAGGTGGGGATAGCTCAAAACACAGCTGAGAGTGACAAGGGATTGCAGTAACAAAGGAAGATGGACTCCTTCATCTAGTTAATTACAGCTTGCCCCGTACTACTGGGCCCAAGCTCTGGGGGTGTGCCTGTGGGTGTGGGTGTGCATGCACTGCTCAGTTGCTCCGTTAAGGCAGGCAGCATCAGTATTTCCCTTTTAATGATGCTGCCAGATGATTAGCCCAAAAGCTCTTAATGAATGGGAAAAGAGACTGCCAGGCAGCAGCAGCAACCCAGATCTCCCCTGGGGCAAGCTTGTCCATAGAGCATCCTTTTTCTTGGTATCAAGCTCCATGACCCATTCAGACAATAACAGGGCCAGCTGCAATATATGTCTGAGATAGGACATCAGGCCCTCTAGTCCAGCATATACACAACAATCCTTTATGGCAAAGCTGAAGAAAGAAATCACACAAACCAGGGATTCTTACAGAAATAAAATGACATCCACTACAAAGAAGAGCACTGTGATGAGTAAAGGAGTCTGTTGTTTTCACCTCCTTTCCGAACTTCATAAAACTAGCAATTCCTTAACAAATAGGCCTTTCTTTACTCTGAACCTCATGCTCCAGCTCCATCAACAGTTTCCTTTTCTAGTTCACGAGGAAAGCTGACAAGCACCTTGTCTTCCACGTGGTCGCTCATAAAATAGCCATCTGGAGGCTTTCTAAAACCCAAAGTCCAAGGAAAATTCCTTAAGAAGCCCCAGGTACCTAAAAAAAAAAGGGCATTCCAGCAGGGCCAAAGGATAGGACTCAGAGGAAGGAACAAAACCCTTGTCTTGAGAGATGTAAAGAATGGATAAAGAGGAAAAATCGTTCTGCAGCCCTGTTAAGACTTTTTACCTGTTAGATAGGTCAGCTTTGCCAAGAGGGTGACCTGATTCCTTGGCTACTCGCATACATGGTGCCTTTTTTTTCCAAGCTGGGCAAAGAAGTAGCACAGGCTGGGGAGCGGTCAGTTTTCTTTGATTCAACCGCGACATGCACAACAGCCAAGGGGCTGCTCTCAGGCCCCAGCAGTGAGGCCAGTCGGGAGTGCAGTTTTGTTATTGTAGCCGCAGGCCCACTTCCAATCCAATTACACACAACAGCTGTGCTAGCTCCTCTTTTCCATCCCCTTTCCTTCCTCTGCTATATAAGTCCAGGATAGGTTTTGTCATTATCAGTGGCAGTGAGTTAGGGTGAGCGGCATCTTCTCTGAGTGATCAAAGGAATAAGAGCACGAGGTAGAAGTCAAAGAGAAAGTTGTTTACCCCACTGTCTATGGAAGCAATAGTGATTGAACAACACTATCCCCTTTCACCCCAGGCAGAAACAGTATTCTGACACTGCATGTGGCATACTCCTAGAAGTATTCACATGGGGAGGGCTACAAACATGATGGTGTTTGAAAGCATGAAAGCAAACATGCAAGTGCTCACATAGATGGCCGCGAGTACAAGAGAATGTGTGCAGGTAGCAAGACCTGAGGGTGAATGCATTTTATGGCTGATCCATAAGAAGATGCGTATCACTGCAAATCAGAGCACCTGATCAAGGAGGTGCACAAGTTGGGGAAAGAACTGTTAGGCATGGAATAGAATTCTTCAGCTTAAAAAAGACATATCTGACTATATATGTGATAGTGGGAAAATCCCAATTAAGATAGAGCAGGTGAACAGGAAATATCCTTTTCCCAGTTTGTGGGGAACACAAGGAGTAGGAGTCACTGAATTAAATTCTCAAGTAACAGGTGTAAAAACAGCTGAAATAAAGTATTTTCCACATTTCAATGACTAAACAATGGGACTTGTCATCACAGGATACAGTGGAGTGGAAAATTTTCAGTGGATTAGGAAAAACAAAGAGTGGACAGATCCACAGAAAATATGTTAATCAATGACTACAGAACATCACAAACCGGATGCAGTATCAGGTCAGAAAGTCCTTAAATTGGTAACTACCAGAAAGCACAAATGGATCAGGACAAGACCTATTCTAACATAGTTTCTTCATCTTCCTCCAAAGCATCTACTTTCATAAAAAGACACTTCTAGGACAGAGGAATTCTTGCTCTGACCCCAGTGACCACTACTACTGCCACATTGTTGCAAACAGGTGTGCATGGAACTGAAAAACATTCACATTTCAGTGCAAAAAAATCCAATTAGGGGACAATACCTGTGAAAAGGGCATGCAAGAATGAAAATAATGGTGGCACGTATGAAGAAGAGCCTAAGCCTGTACATACTGGTTTCAAACACCTGATGAATGGCACTAAAGATACAGCATAGATGGATTCTTATTCTGATCTAGTACCTTCTGCAAATAGGAAACTTCAGATGGGCTGAAACCCATCATTTTCATGCCCAGAAAGCAGAGTTTTTCTTTAAAGAAGCAGAAGCCAGCGTACAGGTACTGCTTAAATGACCCTATGACATGGAATTAGGGAAACCAAGTAAAACAGCAGCCCTGAGATGAAGAAGGAAAAGAAGCCTTTAAAGATGGAGTTTAAAAGATTTAAGAGCTGTATCCAAAATGTGCTAGTGCTTGTGCTTTCAAGGATCTCTGTATCATTATGAAAGAGTTGCTCAGGCAAACAAGGACTAATTTTTCCTCAGGGAACTACCTAGCTAATGTCTACTGGGTTGTGCCCATTCACTTACATACAAACTCTAGTCAGCAGTAAAATCATGACATCAAAATTACCAGAACTTTATCTCTTAGCCTCCTCCCCATAAACATCTAAGATCTCTCCAACAGTGGAAATAAGCACAGTATGAATAGGAAGAGCACTATTTAAACTTTGACACCCTTCAGGTATGAGTAACAGCCATCATAATATCAAGAACCCATAATTTGTTCTTTCTCCTGCATATATTCTTCCACTAAAAAAAAATCTAAGTGAGACAGGAGCATATAACTTGCTCCTTGATCTACTGGTCTTTTCCCAACTATTTACCTTTCAGAACCTACACCACTGGTAAAGAATACAAGGAGCAAAGAAAGGAGTAGATATTGTACAGAGGTGACAGAGGCATCCATTCTAGTCTGTGCTGCACACCACTTCGCAGCCAAGGCACTTAACCTCTGTATTAAGGCTCTTAACCTCCACAGTGTTCAACCCAAGCACTCTAAACATGTTGTGAAGGTGAGGTGAGACTGTAGCTATAACTCCAAAGGGAAAACTGAAGTACTGAAAGGAGAAGTTATTTCTCCTCTACGTGACACAGTGAGTCAGTGACCCAGCTGAGTGCAGACAGCAACAATCCCAACTCCAGAGCACTGCTTACAATGTGGTGTTATTATTTCATGACTGGGTATATAACATTTGCAGGACAGGTGAGTTAACATCTAACAAATTTCTTTCAGTTGTGAAATAAGCCAGATGGGATCAAGTTGGCTCTTTAAACAAGCATAGCACGTGAGCCCCTGTTGCTAGAGCACTCTTCTTCACAAGCAGAGACCTCACATCCAGGAAAGGCTCATGCCACACAGTTCCATTTACTTTGAACAAAACCAACTTCTTTGCACCTTGCAGAAACTGCACTCAGCAGAACCCTGTGGTCCCCACTGCTGCCAGCCCCAGCCTATTCACAGCTACCTCCTCTTACCGGGGAATTAGTTCTAACCAGTCTATTCAACAATAATGAATACTTAGTTAATCAGCGGGCTCTTTACGGCCCTTCTGCTGCCTGTAGTAGTTACCACTAGCTCATAAAATCCCTAATTTTTCTTTCAAACAGTGGATGGTTAAAGTAACCATTTTGACAGGGGCCTGGGGCTCTGTCCTCACAATACAGATCAGGTGGAAAGCCAAATAGGTGGAAAGTCTCTGCACAGCTCGGCAGAGGGGAAGTGTAGACCCAAACCTCCTGAGGTCTAAGTCTCTCCCAGTCACATAGCAGTGCTAGCATTCCCCCCCAAGGGTGAGCTGAGTAGAAGGATGAGACCTCATAGGAGTAAACAGTGACAGAGCCCTATAATGAGGTGTGGTTAACTGTCAGACTGAAAACATTGGGAAGAGTGAGGGAGCACATGAAAAAGAGCATTCACATATGACTAGAAATCCACGTGACAAAGCACACAGCAGTCCTGAGAATAAGAACACGCATATGAGCAATGGGGAGAATAAAAAATGCACATCCAAGTATATAAATTACGAGAACAACAGGGCAGTGGGGCAGAAGAGCAGTCAGGGAGCAGGATGGTGCCCACAGCAGTATGGTCCTGTGGCACTAGATGTGCTACCTCTGCTTGGGCCCTTACTAATGATGCTATTATCTCCTGCACACCATGAGATGTCCCTGATGTTGTTTGAGGCAACACTTGTTCTTGGCATAATATCATGAGTCCTACTGGTAGAGCACAGCAAGGCCATGCCTTCTCAATTCAACCATCCTCCTCTGCCACAGACATCAACATCTTCAGGGTATGGTGTGGTGGAGATACTTGTGACCCTAAGCCTTTGGTGCATGTCCTGTCAGATCCAGCCAAGATAAAAGGAAACAGGAGTTCCTGGACACCTCAGATTGGGGCAGAGATGGTACAGTTTCACCCCCTAGGTAGCTGAAAATATTCAATGTTACAGTTGAAAAAACCTTTCTTTCCAAGGCATGCCAAGAAACATTTGCCATTTGGCCACTTCCAACCCCGCTGTTGCCAGCTGACATGCACAGAGAATGCAAAGGACCTCAGTAGAACAAAAAGGGGGCTGACAAGAGAAGCCAAAAAATTACCCAAGTGGCTTGCCCTCACTGTGTCTCCCTGAAGTGTTGCACAAAAGCTGATTATTCCAGTGTAGAAAAGAAGTAAACTGAACAGAGAAATTCCAGGTCCAGTTAGGTTTAGCAAAAGTTATTCAGAGAGCTGAGAAGGAAAAGAGCTTTGACTCTCCCATCATCCCACTCCAGCCAGGGCAATGTCAGCTGCTTCTCTGGGCTCTCATTTCCATTTCACATAATGATAAACCAGGTGGAGCTGCCTGAGTGTGAGTTAAAAATTAGTCTCTTAAGCTTCATTGGCAACAGGATGTGGACTATAAAGTGGTTTAGTTCAACTAACCCTTGTAGCTGAAGTTGGGGAGCCTTTTGACAATGAGATAGCAATCTGAGGAGGGAGGTTTGGAGTTCTCTGTGGTAACATACATCATTGTGAAAGAACTCAAAAAATAAGCAAGCACATAAAAAACACATTATTTTTCCTCTTAAATGAGTCATTTGTGCCCTGGTGGAAATAAAATTTTGATACCTAAATAAGATCACACATTCACATTCAGCCAGAAAGATACTCACTGTTTTTTAAAAATGTAAAATAAAATAACAACAAAAAACCCCTTTTTTAGTGGAACTGAAACTCAACAGGTTATCAGTGGGAGTAGCAAATGGAGTAGACTGCAGTAGGAGAAAGAAAATGACTGAACTAGATTTACATGCCAGACTACACACAGATGTATCAGAAATATCCTATATACAATGCAGTGTTCAATGCCAGGTAATTAGCGATACAAGCAACCATTTTTAATGTAATTTTTATTCAGAAAACATCCCTTTAACTGACCAGCACAGTGTAGTCTCTGAATAAGGAAGTTTGTGACCTTTGCTCCTACGAAGCCCTCCTTTCAGCAAACACCGTTCAATACAGACCTTGTGACATCCAGTAGGAAGATTTGTTCTGTACACTCTCAGGAAGTGGGATGAGATTTCTGCCCTGGCAACTTCCCACCACCACTCCTTAAAAAGCAGCCTTTCCGCTCGGAAAAAGCAACACTTACCTGGAATATGATTGACATCTGCCGAGGTGTTTTCATGGCAAGCAGAAGGGAGAAAAAGAAGAGAGAGAAAGAGAAGAGAAAAAAAGCCATTAGAGATGCACACAGAAACTCAGCATCCTTGCATGGAAATCAATTTCATGCAAAACCAGAAGTAATTAGGTTTCTTTGAAGGCCACCCATCTGCAGCCAAGCACGCCGCCATGCAAGGGAGGAGACACTGGCTCCCTCTCCGCTGTGCATGTAAAAGTGAATCCACCATCATATCTGTCCGGAGAGAGAGTTCCTGGAATCAGATAGAACCAAGCCACGTCAGTTTCTGTAAGAATATTGGTTAAAATATTCTACTGTTTTTCACACACAAATGCAAAAGAAAGAAACAAAAGACAACCTTCCTGCAGGAGGTTTCTATAGCACATAAATTCAAGCAAGTTTTCAGAAAAATAGAAAAGAACCTGCTCCCCTTTTACAAGGGGCCATGTGAATTTATGACCAGGTGTAAGACACTCAACATAGTCCCACAATCTAGAAGAGAGACCCTTCCTTTTCATTCCTCTTGCCCATCATTCCCCAAACAACATCCTTCATTGCAGACAGCAGTAGAAGTAGGGGAGAAAGAGTGTGCCAGAGGCTTGTACATCCCACATGTTGTCTTTTCACAAGTTGGTAAATCAATCACACAAATCTCAAAACAAGTAAGTCCTTTAAAAAAGGGAGAAGCAAGACTATGTAAGTCATAGTATTGATCACAGAAAAGGCATGTCTTTGAATGTAGTGTCTGTTTTGGGCAGTGCCCGCCAATCCCAGAGAATGTACTTCTCATAACTTTTTAGCATCCCAAGTTTAGTCTTGCTCTGAATAGCTACACTTACCCTAACACCAGGAGGGAGGAACCAAAATCTCATGGGATTAGATTAGATTAACATGTTCCTTCCAAGGCAGCCCTCAAAAAAACTAAAATAAAAACAAAACAAACAAACAAACAGAAAACCAAAACAAAACAAAGCAAAAAACCCAAACAAACAAACAAAAAAAACCCCATAACTTATTAGCATTCTCCTCTGGAGGCTTGTACCCTGCCCAAAAGTTGTGCTGTTAGAGGTATCACCTTTCCAGGAAGACTTCAAAGCAGTACATTAATGATTCAGACTATAGATCCCAGACCACTTCTGCCACAAGTCTAGGAGCATGACATGCTGGGTGCATTGGCTTCACACCGAGGTCTAAGAATGTATTCTCCTACCCCAAATGTTCCCACCAATTTCCATCAGTATTCCCCCCTCCTGTCCAAACCCACTGTGTTGCTGTGAAACTGGTGCCACATGTCTTCCTGAGTCAATTGCATTTCATTGGTGAGTGATTCCAGTTCATGTTGCTTTTTGTTTATCACTTTCTGTTGCTGTTAGCTTATCACTTTGTAATGGCTCCAAAACCATTTGAGGAAAAGTCCCTGTGGTATATCACCTATATATCAAGCCGTCCTTCCCTAAGGAGGTAACAACGTAAATAAAACAATGCACAAAGAGGGGAAGGACTATTGCATTGGCTCATTTAATTTCCGTAGCTTCTACTAAACATATAGGTCAGATCTGATGAGGGTTATTTGTTGGTTTTCCTCTTTTAACACATAATTGTATCTAAGAACTGGTGTCTTGGCATGCAAGCCTGGAAGGACACTTAGCACTGAAAGTTTACCTGAAAGTAATTACTTTTATGTAGGAAAAGAAAAAAAGTGTCAGGCAGCAATGCATGCACTGAGGATGGAAAGAAAAGGTGAGAGCAGGGGGAAGAAAGGATCAGTGGCAGTTAGAGATGATCACATATCTCAGAAGAGGTAGAACTGAGCACCACAAGGTACTGCAAATATTTCTGATAATCCAGAAGCTGCCCAAAAACCTATTCTAAGCAAGTAAAAAGCTCTAGACCCATGTTGTCTTATCACAGCAGGCACTGCTACAGCCCAGGCTACTTCAAGGGGCCTGGAACAGCAGGCAGCCTCACCAGTGTCTGTGCTCCAGGAGGAAATCTGTGGGATGTTTAGGGAATAAAAAGCATCAGCTGATAGAAAGGGCAAAGGAAAGAGCTATCTAAGAGTGAACAAGGGATAAACACATTAAGTAAATAAGAGAAGAGGCCGTGGGCTGTAACTGATACACTGCTTGAAATAATACTTATTTAACTATGTGAGAATTAAACAGGCCATGAAGCTGTTAAAGAAGGGGAACAATGAAGTGCTAAGAGCCAACATAAGCACCTCTAAAATGTAGTTTCTTTTTACTTGTATTTTTACCTATATTTTTTGTTCCCATGTCCCTAAGAGCAGGTATCCCCCATCCTGACTGATTTTACTCTTAACTTTCTTTTTGCTGTATTTTTTTTTAAAGTTTCCACACAACACAACTTCTGTATACATTAGTTGCATCACAAAAGTCACTGTTTGCACCTCTGTGAGCTTTTGCAGTATCTACCTACATGGTATTGTGGCTCATTATTGTTACTTTCCATACTAAATAAAAAAGGAGTTTCTTGTATTGCAGACACCCCCCCATGTGGCATCTACTAGCAAATGCTGATTTTCAAATGGTGAAAATACTTCGTTTTTATTTTAAAACAACACAAAAAGCACTGCTTTCTTTGTAAAGACAAAAAATAACATATAGCCAGACAGTCCTCACAAAAGACCCTACAATAAATACCACTGTTGCAGGCAACGGAAACTGCCATGTAAGTCACAGAATCACAGAATATTCTGAGTTGGAAGGGACCCACAGGGATCATCAAGTCCAACCCTTGGCCCTACACAGCCTCAAGAATCAAACTATGTGCCTGAGAGCATTGTCCAAATGCTTCTTGAACTCTGGAATGCTTGGTGCTGTGACAACTTCCCTGGGGAACCTATTCCAGTGCCCAACCACACTTTGGGTGAAGAACACTTTCCTAATATCCAACTTAAGTCCTCATCGGACTAAGAGGTGGACCTAACACCTCTGCAGTGTTGGTATGCCACTCCTCTGTGGGGCACAATTAAAACTGTGGTTGCATATATCGACAAAAGGGACCCACCACTACCTTATGGTTGATGGCTCCACAATTAGGAGAAACCTAATGCCTCAAGAAAGGTAGAAGACAGAGATGGCATACAGGCAGAGTGACCAGATTTGGGGAGCTGAGTTTACTCTCCTTCAGATCCTGTCATCTGAGATATCCTCTCAATTCTCTTCAAGATTTTCTGGTTTGTTTAGAAAAGGATTGTTTAATACATGTCTCCACTCTCTTCCTCTTCCATCAGCAGTAGCTTCATCTCCCCACACAGATCTCCTCCCTGACAAAGAGACTGAGGAGGTACAGCATTCCAATTAAACAAGGAGCATGCAGAACCCTCAGCTAGCAAAAAAATCCAGTGACCATGGGACTTACTGCCGCATAGATGACGGTTTCTCCACTTTTTCAGCTCAGAGCAGTTCAAACACAGAAAGGTCTGCCTCTTAACAAAAGACAAGGCATAGTTTGCTTTATCCTATACACGGGAGTCCATTTATTGCTCCTTTGTAAAGGGCTGAGCTGCAAGCCGGTGCTGTTTGCTTTTGTTCTTTGATGCTAATAGCTGGGTTGAAAGAGGGATCAGCAGGGCCGCTGCCTTTGTCTGGTGCAGCCTCAGCCATCTGGGTGGGGTGGAAGGGAAGCAGGAGGATGAAGGTGAGCAGCAGGAACAAAGTAAACGTTATTATAGCTCAGATCATTTTCATGCCTGTACAGGAAACATCCAAGGTATTTTTCACTCTAACCTTTTTAACAAGAAGTTTAGCAAAAAGGGGAGGTTTCATGAGACTGCACTTCTCTCCAGCTGGAAGACAAGGACAGCACAGACTTTCTATGCATACCAGCCCAACAGTACACATCACCTTGACCTGAAGAGACCTACTTATGTTTCCATCTCTGTGGTCCATTCAGTCTTGTCCCTTGCTTTGATGTGTTGTGTATACCTGTCTTCTGCCGGCTAAACTGTGAGCCACTGACTGAATTCCCACATCACAAACAAGCTGGTAGGTAGAAGCATCCTAGGCTAAGTGGAAATAAGCACCTAGAAGTGAATGGCACTGTCTTGTACTATGAGTCCCTAAAGTTCTCTAGCATCCCCCTCCAGCATTCTCTGGTGACTCTCTCTATGAACACCAGTGTGTGGAGAGGACTGGGGAGCAGGCAGAAACTGGGGAGAGGAGGAGGGCAAAAGTCATAACACTTACAGGCATTTTTTGTCATAGGAGACCCACTCCCAAATAAGAAGAAATTCAGCTTTTAGACAGGAAAATTACTGTATTTTGAAGCTTATTCAGATATTGATACCTAAAAGGCTTTTCTAAAGCAGATTTTGCTCTCATTCTGCAAATACAGAAAATGGATATAGGTAAAATTTCACTGACAGAAGCACGACTGATTGGGAACTCAGTCACTTAATTTGACTTACTTACATATATATATATATATATAAACTGTTCAGGGACCATAGATTGATCCATTTATGGCAGCCTGTGAAATGATTAAAAAAGATATATGAAGAGCCAGCTTAGACTGCTGCAGTGTGGTAGTAAGAGGTGTTGGTTAATCAGAAGTTGGTGACTTCCTTAACTGAGCTCTGATGCAACATTTTAACAATATGAAGAGCTACATTATGGCTCAGCTAGAAACCCCTCAAATTGCCATGAGCAAATTCTTTATTAATTTGATACTTCATCAAACAAAGTGTTAATTCCACATGCTGATTTGACAAGTTGTCTCATTCCATCCTAATCTGTCTGTTAAGGTAAACATATGGTCCTACTTCACCTCCTACAGACTCCTCGTCTTTCTCTTCAGTATACAGGGGTTCAAAGCCTTCTGGGAGGGTTTATAACAACACACAAAAAAAAGGCACTTTGGTTGTATAAACACATTCTAACAAAAATTTGCTTGGGTAAAGATGGGATCTGTAATGAGATCATTTCCAAGCATTAACACATCCCTATAGTGCCCATGCTTACACA